ACCTATAGCTTTTTGCTGTTATTTATATCAAGTAACTTAAGGAACTGACTTTGTCATAGAAGTAAGATTAGCGTGTCGCAAAGCTGACTGATTTGAATAGTGCCCCTCAAGTGGAACTGGGTGGGATGAGTCCGAGAGAAAGAAAGGTGAGTCCGGAAAGAGATGATTGTAACGCCTATGCTGAGCAGTTCCAAGAGCTTCTTCATCAAAAGGGCGAGATTTCATTGATGCCGCCTCGGATGGATCAATAAAGCGGATTCTTGATTTAAGAATTGGCTGTCGTTGTGGTTTTTCGGTTATTGTAGGAAACTCGACGGTCATGTGGTCTAATGAGTCAACATGAGATTGCATTTTCCACTGCCGTAACATCCGACGAAAAATTCAGGCGAGGGAGGCATTGTCAGTACCATAATAATGCAATGAACTTAAGCAACTATATTCCTACAACTTTATAAAAAATACATGGCAATGAAAATTATGGGTTGGCTAATCCAAGAGCAAAAACATCTGAAAATATCACAAAGGTCACAGGGGTGATAAATCTGGTTTTCACATAAAAGCAAAACGAAACACGGTTAATGGTGAGGAAAGCATGTACTAGTAAGTCTAGAATGGACAAGAAAAAGCAGGCTAAAAAATGAAATCTGAATTTTTTAACGCGTTGCAACGCAACAATAGTAATTCTAAAGCGAAATATGAGAGGTCTCTTATTTACATGGTATATTTGTTTAAAACCAACAAGTATGCCTTGTCAAAGTATAAGGTTAAATTCTCCAACTTGCTACTCTATAGCATACTGCGCAATCAAATAAGACAGACAGTATTTTAGAAACTACGCTTGCCACCTAACCCGCAGCTAAAAGTCGTTAATGCCATTTCAAGGGGATCCTGACCATATACTCTGCGGTGACCCTTATTTGATGATTATAAACACAAGGAACGATTAATATGCATATCGCAATATTTAATCAATACTTATTAATTTGTAGTCAAACTTAAAAACAAATTCAAATCTCGTATATTTGTCCAGGATAAATTATAACTAAGCCGATACAAATAATGGAGTCACGTGGCTGCCAAATCCTATAACGAGCATTATTCCATGCTTTTGCTAGGATACTAACAGCGCGATGCCTCAGAGACTGATAAACATTTGCCTCAGGAAAAGAGATAATCTGGGTTTCGGTTCGACCAACAAGGCAACGACAACATGATTAACAGTGATTAAAGGCCACACAGGTGGTGGAGTTAAAAGACTCTACTTCCATCAAATATGTCTGTGGCTGTAGCTTCACGAGACCTCCTTCCGGATACAAGAAGACATGAGGCGAATCTGAACTTATGCATTCCAGAGGGAGCAAAAGGATTAGGTCGGGGCGTGATTCGAAAGACAGTCCACTCGTACAAGGGCCAGACAAATATTTAGGTGACCGTCAGACATCAGCTCCTGAGTGTAGTGATTTGTTGATGTTACCATCTGATGCTTGGAGGTTACTTCAAGATTATACTGTCCTTATCCATGTAACCTGGCCTTCGAACCAGGCTCAGGTGCATCCCCATTGGTCTCCATGGCATACATGTATGCAGCTCCGCATAATGCCTTCTGCCCGGTGAAAGTTCTGGAAGGCTACAACAAGATCTCTCACCAAGGAAAAGAAGAAATTATCACGTTGTGTCGAATGCATACATACAAAAAATGAAGAAGTGATAGGGTTTTGACTCGGCCCGAAGGTCAAAGCACACATACAGGGCAAACCGAATGGCCGAGCAACCATACTAGGCGCTCCACTTGGTACAGCCACGCCAGCCGCCACATTTCCAGTGCTACTACAAAGGAATATCTACCAGCCAGGCATCTCAGTCATCAGCCACCATGGCACTGAGGGGTTGCGCTTAGCATTCTCAACAGCTTCACCTCAATCCGGAGTCAC